AGTATTGTATTAGTTTTGAATATTTCTCATGGGTATTCAATCATTTTTGACTTTCAGTCTGAGTTAAATCTCTTTTTTGGCTCATTTTATCTGTAAAAGAAAATCTGCTTAATAATTATGCACACCTGAATAGAAGACATTTTTCACTTCCAGCCTTCATGAATAATTATATATCAATTATAAATGATTACATACAAGATTAATAGTTATTAAGATTGATCTCGTTTGGAATTGGTCAAATGTGCTTGGAAAAAATATGATCAGAATATCAACTTGCATAATAATTATTCATGCACTGTATTTTTCCTCTTCTGCTGTCATGGTAATGCAAGGAATGTTGTGATTGGTTGTCAGGGCAGCCAATTAGAATTTAGCAGCCTCATCTCTGATTGGCTGGAATTATGGTATATTGTAACGCTAGGTTGTGTTGAGCAAGCGAGCCGTTTGCATTTAGAGAGCACCGAGGGCAGGCATCAAGGGAGCAAGCTAGTGAAACCTTGCACGCACAAAAGAGAAGGAAGGTTTGCACAAATCCAAAAACTTATTTTAAATGCAAAATTGCTCGAAATACTTTCTTCTTTGCGAGACAAACATTTTCTCCACAAAACTCAGTTTGCGCGTGTGCAAAGCGCACTTTTGCGCGCTCACAATATGATCTTTCGCACACAGAATTGTGGCAGAGATCTAATCCCACAGTTCTAGACCCTTTTTAGCACTCTCAAAAAAAACAAACAATTATCAATATAGTCAATAAAGCTCTCTACACTGTGAAATTATTCTCTTTCTCACATCGTAAATCAGCTCTTTATTTATGATGAACGAATTCACTAGAGAGCAGAATTTAGTCAGCGAAAATGCTCTCTGAACAAAACTCCGACGTTTCAGCCATGACTCATCTGAACGCCTCTGATTGGTCATTGCATTCATAAGCTCAACAGAATGGCGTGTGATTGGTTATAATGCGCAATGCTGTAAAAATGCGTGAAAATAATTATGGTACAACCTGGGCAGATCTTAATTTGAAGGTGACATATCATGAAAATCTGACTTTTCCAGGTTTTAAAGGGTTAGTTCACCCAAAAATGAAAAAGCGTGTCTGATTTCGCTCCCCTAGTGACATTGCAAAGGGATCTTCATTATAATATTATATAATTACATTAGAGCAGTGGATTTATTGATTTATTTACACAGATCTAAAATAAACATGCAATTTATTTCCTAGCTGTTTACCTTCACAGACATAACAGACTGTTTTTGTATTTTGTGTGTTTTTAACGTAAACTTGTGTGTGAATGAGAACTTAGTTTAGTACTCACATGCTGTGACAGCCGCTTTCTGTCCATGTGCTCCGGATGTGCGCACTCAGAAAACCGTATATCAGAAGTTTAAATGAATATGGTTTAAAACGCATGATTTCAGCATGATAAACATGAGAATGTTTTTTAGCAGGTACGAGCTGTAATGGCGCAGCTCTATTCTGGAAGAGGGCGGGGAGCAGCAGCTCATTTGCATTTAAAGAGACAGGCACGAAAAACAGCGTGTTTCTACTTCCACTCAAAATAGGCATTTTCAAAATGATATAATACATTATCTGTGGAGTATTTTGAGCTGAAACTTTACAGACAATTCTGGGGACACCAGAGACTTATATTACATATTGTAAAAAGGGGCATAATATGTCTCCTTTAATGCCGCAATCTACACTTTTCATTTATTTTCAATTTATTCGCAACAGACGTATTTTTGTCCAATTTGGTGGCATTGCCCCAAGTCCCCGTGGTCAGAGGACCCCAGCCTTATACACACTTACAGTCATTCTAATTAAACTTGTGGAAAAAACATTTAACATATTGAACATACAAGCTCATGAAAGTTTTTCTTCTTATTTTTCACCAAAGAAATCACTTGATGAATACATTTACATTTAGACATTTAGCAGACGCTTTTATCCAAAGCGACTTACAAATGAGGACAATGGAAGCAATCAAAATCAACAAGAGAGCAATGATATGCAAGTGCTATAACAAATCTCAGTTAGCTTAATGCAGTACAAATAGCAAGTTTTTTTTTAAATCATATAATAAATAAAAAGAAAACAGATTAGAGGCCTTTTTTGCTTTTGTTAATCAGAAGTCAGAATTATAATTGTATAATAAATTTTAAAAAACGAACAAATAGAATGCAAAAAGATTAGAGAAGCAAGTGTTAGTTTTTTAAAGAATATGAATGGACAACATGTTGTGTGAGAAAAATCTTTGGATGTACAACAATGCTGATTAACAAAATCATATCTTATGTTGTATCAGTCGACCCTCTACTTCAATATATACCTCTGGTAATGAATGATCACTATTGTCATATAATACCATGGTATTTAGATGGTGCACAATCAAGAAGTTCCACTTTATAATTATACGTCACTGTTCACAGCACAATATCAGCAAAATTGTCGTGAACAAGCTGCTGCAAATGATACATGCATTTTGGGTGTGTGACTAAAGAGAAGTGTGAAAGTGTGTGTGAGACAGAAAGGAAAAATCCAGGCAGGTTGTTAATGATCCATCCGTTGGTTTAATGCAGAGAATAATTGGTTTGAAAGTGTTGGGGTGCATTTTGCCACCGGCACTTCTCTATTTATCTCCATTAACTGCAACTTCGTTATAGCTCACACTCCTTACAATGCTGTCAATCAATGCATCACAAATAGAGAATGTGTGTATTTGACAGCCAACTCTTCTTTGTTATGTTTAGCCTTTAAATAGCTTTAACCATCTGTGTATTCAGCAACACACAAGAGAAGGTCATATATCTAATTTATGCCCTGTGCTGGATGCATTTTTTCACTATATCTACACATGATCCATTGGATGAGTGAAAAATCTATGAATGTCTCTAAATCTATAAATTATGAGTTTTGGATGTTGCTGCAGATGAAAAACAGGCTTAATAGATTTAAATATTTAAATGTAAATGAGTGCCAGATGTCTGAATACATAATGGGGCTTGTAATATTGTTCCTCTAGGCTTTTGTTGGCTGTTTATATATGGATTATTCTATATAAACAAGCATGTTGAAGAATGTATTAACAATTACGTCTGTGTTTTTTGCACCGTTCACAATATACTACCAAGTGATACGAATCGTTCTGTAAGTATAAAGAAAGAATGTGAATTATTACACACTCCTGTTTTTGCTCTTTCAAATGTAACTGTATGATGTATGTATGATCATCATCACTAAGAGTGATTCATGTGTTGTCTGTTCAAGAAATAGATAAGACGTGATAAGAAAAATCTAAATATAATAAAAAAACAGAATTGAAATGACAAATAATAACAAATACCTACCTTTTGCAAAGTAATATTAGAACAAAATATGAACTCAAAAATCTTTCTTGCTAAAAAAAAAAAGAATATAAAAACATGTACAATACTTCCCCCTAGTGGTCACGATGAACGGCAGCGAAATAATAGTAGGCATATAACAAGACTTGATAGGAAGAGGAAATGCTTGAATTCAAACTGATTCAAAACAGTCAGTCACACAACAGAGACATTGCATTAGTTCAACAAGATGGACAAAATAAAACAAAAACTAACAAAAATGAATTTTCCAACATGGTCATTAAAATGAAAGATACTTTATTTAATATAAAGCAATTATATAGACATGGTTTCTGCAGGATTTCTAAGCTAAAATGTAAGACTTTTTAAGACCTTTGTTAAGACCTGCACAAATAAAATTAATACCATGAGCGGGGTAGGACAATGTCTATAGTAACATATTAAACTGTAAAATGACTGTAAACAGCATGATTTACAGATGCAAGATTTTACAAAAACAAAAAGTTTTATAAAATGATACACTTCACATTTCAGCCTTTAAACCATTTTTAATAAAATGGATGAGTCAAAAGTATAAATTATTCTATTAATTTAAACAATGATTATCAATAAATTATTATATTAATTAAATAACATATAAATACATTTTACTGTTTAGATTTTTATAATGAATTACCTTCTTAACGATCCACCAGTTCGCATTTACAGCTCTGTGTGTTTGCAGGGTAAAAACATGGGTCGATTTTCACATTGGTCTGAACAAAAACAACCCCAATACTGTGTTCCTACGATACCGGAGGCTGCGGTTTTAGTTTTTTTTTGGTGACAGCGCCATCTAGCCAATTCTACTGCAACAGAGGAGACCTGCTTCAAACATCAAACAAACAAACAGATGCAAAGACTAGATCCATGGAAACTATAAATGTTTTATATTTCCATCTGATTTTTAATGTAAGAGCTGGCGTGAACGTTAGTGTGTGAGGCGATGTCAGCAATCTCCATTTAGCCTATTTAGCTGTGCAAAACAGTTCATTGTGCCGCTGGATGTTGTAAACTCGTATTTGTATTCAAATTATTTAAAATGTATTTATGTACTAATAAACCCACTAATTTGTACCGCACAGGCTACATACAAAAAAATAAAAATAAATAAAATAAAATGCAAAAAAAATAAAAAAAACAATAGGGTCCTAGAAATGCGGTCCTGAAACTGCAGCCTCCGGTATTGCAGGAATACCCTTCTCCAATAAAACAGGCTTATTGAAAATGCACATGCATTCTCTGCCAGCAGGAGGCGCCTTCGGAACGACAAAAAATATAACTGTTTCCGTTTTATGGGTATTTCAACAGGTAAAAAGGACTGCATGAGCTAAATGACTTGATTGCATTCGAGGGTTATATTTGACAGATTGTACCTCATGTAGTCCTTTTTACCTGTTGAAATACCTTTAAATGGCCAATAAAACCAATAAAATGCCGTTTTACACTTGCCAAAAAGTGATTACAGACGGCAATCAATTTTCGGCACGACACTGGTAACGGCAGTACACAAAGCATTCGCAGCACTGGACTCTGAAACGTTCAGCGCTCTTGTTTATTTCATGAAATCATTGCCTTTTGAAGTTTAATATATATATATATATGATGTTACGGTATAGTGGATGTTTTTTTGTTTTTTTTTCAAACACTTTATCATGTAACAAGCAAAAATCCGAAATCTGGTTGCTCAGAGAAATAATAGCATGAATTCTTTTCATTAAGTTGCATGATCTGAGGTGTCATTTGAGTAACAGGTTTTGCCTTCACAAGCATCTCTATTAAGTTCTATTTACTACCATTAAGATACCATTTGCTCATTCCTTTAGAATCATGTGATTTTTAGTTATCTTCTTTCCAGCTTACTCCATCACTTCTTTCTTTCCCCTCTGTTTTAGGAGTGGTGAGGTGCAACGTCTCTGGTGACAGTATTTGTTGTCCCTCCTCTTCTTCCTTTACATTCTCTAATTCTTCATCTAAGTCCTGGAGTGTTTCTTGCATGCTAGAGGTGGCTGGCATGACATCAGTCAGACCGCTGGACTCTGTGCTCGCATTCAAAAAGTTCTGTTCTTCGGATGTTTTACAGCTTCCATCTACCGGCCCGTGTCTCCGGATGGTCCTACGATTTCTGCTGTGGCGTGATTGGTTGCAGTGCAGTGTACGTCTGCGGTGCCATTGGCTGAGAGATCTGTGTGCTTCTGCACTAAGTTGCCGCTTCGCTAGACGAGGCCGGAAGCTGCTAATGTAAAAAAGGGCAGCATAGAGAGACGTAAGGTAGTACCCACCTAAGAGGGAGACAGAAAGGCAGTATGCACATTATACACACTAGTATGTGAATATATATATAAAAAAACTAAACTCCATACTTTAGGGGGAAAATTCCATTGACGGTCATTCATTTTAATATTCATATTTAATATTTAATGCAACAAATGAATTTTTTCAAGCAACAAATAAATAACAAAAAAATTTTTATATTTGTAAATGTTTTCAAAGTTTTACACAATAAGAAACTGTGACTTTGTAACACAGTCATCTGAATGGTCTATGCTCCAGTCCAAACAGAATAATAAGAATGAAAAACAAAATTTGAAGTGGCTTTTATGATACACTTCAGGGTAGTTGCTAATAGAGGGCCTGGGACTGTGCACAGAAAAGGTGTCCTGCCATTGAAATTAATGGGAATGCAAAGGATAGATCTCTACAGGTACTATATTTGTCTTGGTTCAGACAAACAGTCATTCAGCAAGTTTGCATGGACAACAATACTCCGATTTTAATACGATTAAGACAATACTCTGATTAAGAATCTACCATTTAAACAGAGATTTTTGATGACCTTAAAGTCATAATCAAAGTAAACACTAATCGAATTAAGACATGTGGAGTATTCCTATTTTAGTCGCATTATTGAAGTGCAGTAAAGACATGTAAACACCTTGATCCCATTATTACCATCGTGTAGGACTTTTCGCCAGATTTTGCGACAGGATAGTATGGCTAAATAGTAAATAGTATGGATGTTAATCCATATAGCATTAAATGCTTCCATGCATTTCTTAGGAATAGGACTCAACAAGTTAAAATCAAGCAGACTTTCTCCGAATGTCGGCCCATTAGTATTGGCGTTCCCCAGGGGTGTGTTTGTTCACCACTCTTATTTGCATTGTACAAAAATGAATATAGGAGTCACCATCCGGGGAATATTGTCGTTAAATTTTCAGATGATACTGCCATTCTTGGTCGTTTGTACAAGGATGAGGACCTTCAGTGTTACACTACAGACATTACTGACTTTGTGTTATGGAGTAAAGAACATAGTCTTGTAATTAATATTAGTAAAACAGAGGAAATTATCTTTGATTATAAATCAGTAGGCAATCACTCACCTATCATGATTAATAACAAGCCTGTTAGACAGGTTGCATCATACAAATATTTAGGTTTGCTTATGGATAATACACTTTCATGGGAGGTGCATGTGGATAATCTGTGTAGAAGGGTGCAACAAAAAAAATACTTTTTGAGGAGGCTTGGATTATTTGGGGTGGCTCAGAGGGTCAAGTTGTTGTTTTATCATGCCTGTATTGAATCCATCTTACTGTATGGTATAGCAGCCTGGTTTGGTCATTTGAAAGTTACTCTTAGATCTCAGCTGAACCGTTTGGTGTGTACTGCTATGAAAGTGGTTGGTCTGAGGGTTTATCCCAATTTTCAGTCTGTTTTTAATAAGGTTATTCTTAAACAGGCAATGGAAAATGACTAGAGACCCTTCTCATGTGCTTCAGCGAGAATTTGAATTACTTCTTGAATTAATCTGGTCAACGTTTTCGTATTCCGATGTCTAGATATAACCGTTATAAAAACTCTTTTGTTCCTTTGGCTACAAGGCTGTTAAACTCTGATTCAGGGGACACAACTGTGTGATTGTTATTATTGATGTTGGTACTTTGTTGTGCAGTTTTACCTGTATTGCCCAAATCAAATTTCCCTCTTGAGGGACAAATAAAGTAAAGATTGACTGATACACACATGGCAGTGCTCAACCGTTTGACAGCAAATAAAAGAATGGCTTCAATGACGCCGTCGTCTGTTTGCATGTATAGCATGCCAAATAATTAACTGCACTTGAAGCTTTCAGTAAATTAAAAATGAAACACCCAAAACTGTATTTGGCATCATAACGAAGACGAACTATATGTTTATACGTGAAATTCTGGAGGGGACGTCGGATGGTGTCACGTGGTGACGTAATGACACGTGCCATTAATCGATCTATGTGTACTATAACATGTAAAACGGGAACATGAAAGGAATATTCTAAAAGCAACTCTTGTAAACACCTTAATCATAATATAGGCTTATTCAGAATAAGGTAAATAATTAGATTACTGATGTCCATGTAAACGTAGTCAGAAGCCGACATGATGGACTAAGTAATGCTTTGAAAGCATCACAGTGTTTGCCCTACCAATGAATTACTTACAGATGTCACTGCACATTAACTAGTACAGCAAATACTTATGTTTATGAGTATGAATGTGTGTGCTCCCCCTACCCTCTCCTTGTAGTTGCATGGGGTCTAGCAGCTCCATCATGTAGTCGGTGTCAACCTGAAGTGTAGCTACATCACTACGCAGCAACACCCATGTCAGGCATGGCAGGAAGTCATCTGCCCCGAAAACTGTACCTAACATAAAACATTGAACATATTCAAATCTTCTACACCTTAATGACAGGTTTGTAGATGTTTTAAGTGCCTTGCATGCTTAAAATGTCTTGGGTATGCTCGGAATTGTTGGTATTCTGTACAGGACAAATTTCTGTATATACAGAATGGGGAGTACTGTATATAAACAGAGGACATACAAGTTAAAAATTCAAAGGAAGTGGAATGTGGAATGACTTGACATAATTAAATGTATTTAATTTATGCATTTAGCAGACGCTTTTATCCAACGTGACTTACAGTGCATTCAGGCTATACATTTTTTACCAGTATGTGTTTTCCTTGGGAATTGAACTCACGACCTTTTGCGCTGCTAACGCAATGCTCTACCACTGAGCCACAGGAACAGGACATCAGGATATCATATAACAGAATATCAACCATGAGAATCTGTATATCTCTACAGTACTACTTCACTCACCAGGCTTGGCATTAGCATTCATACTATGGTAGATATTCTTGCAGACTTTGAGCAGGGTGTCAACTTTTTTACTGGGTGAGTAGGCCTCATGCATTGTGGTCCAGCGTTGCTGGATCTTTTCCAACATGCTGGAATCCGGTACCCCAGCCCCTGCTGCACCCTCCAGCTCCTCCAGGCTGCGGTTCTCCAGGGTGCTCTTGTTGGCCTCTAAACGCTGCAGAGTGCAGTCATCCCTGCGTGCTGTCTTTAGACACACGTAAAGGTGAGAGTAAACTGGCTTCAGAGCTACTTTATGTAAGGCAAGCTCCAGCACAGCATCTAAGGGCAGAGAGAAAAACAGATTTGTGAATGAATGTAGTTTTAGTGGAGGTGAAAAAATAATTACACATACATTGCATTCAAATACTCACCAATATCCATTTGTATATAACACAGTATTTCCCTATACCTTTGTTTATATATATGTTTAATGTTATTGTCATGGGTTAAATCGTGTCTTAATTTAATGCATAGGTAGATGTGAAAAATTGTGTTATATAAAAAGGAATATTGTCGAGCATTCAAATGGAATGCATATGTGTTTTTAGAGACTTAACATTGGCTACAGTACTGAATGATGTGGTCAATATAATTAATGACTTAAAAAGTGGGTGGAGGGACTGAATTATTGAACGCACTGAAGAAGGCCTTGAGCCGAAACTTTTGTGTTTTGTCCTGCTGGTGATAAATGTAAAATAAAACGTTTTGTGAGTGCGGGTCATGGTTTCATAAATAACAAGTAATTAAATAGATTGATGCACTAAAATAAAATATTAAGTGATGAATGAGCGTGGTGCGAATCGCTTTGTGGTAACACAACAACATGAAATTTAAATAGCTGAAGCGCTTGTGTTCACATACTTGTTAATTAAACTGTATGGTTCGGTTATTTCCCATTTTATGTCCCTGCACTTTCCTTCAAATAAGATTCTTATGAGAAACTAACTAATATACTAGCAAAAATTTTGCTAAGTGTGACCAGAGAAAGCCCACTGTGCGTTCACTGTGTAGCCCTACCTATGAAAATGGGAGCAATTCAATTGTTTTGTTGATAAAATACAATTACAGATGATAATTAATTTAATAATTATTATAATAATTTATGCATTTAGCAGACGGTTTTATCCAAAGCGACTTACAGTGCATTCAGGCTACACATTTTTGTCCCTGGGAATCAAACCTATGACCTTTAGCGCTGCTAACGCAATGCTCTACCACTGAGCCACAGGAACATAGATGATAATTTGATAAGACTGATAAGTTATTATAATATAGCCCGGCAATAACGTTATCCCCAACACATCTCCAGGTCATACCCAGCTCAAAATCTGGATTGTCTCCAATGCTGTCTGTGATGCTTTGGATCTCTGGACAATCAAACAGGGTTTCCTTCAGAGCAGTGAGAGAAGAGCGCACTTCCTGTAGCATCTCGGTGCAGGTCACTCCAGGACCAGCCTCACTTGCAAGAGTTTGCTCTACAAATCCCCTGACAGCCTCTGCAAAAGCCCCTCCCTTCCGTTCTGCCATCTCCTGAACACGTTTACTCAGTCTTCGCTGTGGCGACATAAGTCCACCTAGAGCCTGACCCACTGCAGAGAGACGGTTCTTCATCTTATCTGCCAAGTGGAAGCGGGGCGAAGGTAGTGATGGGGAGGGGCTTAAAGCTGGTTCAGTCTCCTCCTCTATACTGCTGACTGACAGGGAGTCCAGCTCTAAGCCGGGCGGTTGAAGCAGAGAGGAAGGAAGTGATGAGTTCAGCCATATCTTGTCCTCTATCCACGACACACGATGTGGTAACTGAGGGAGAGGGCTTTGAATGGAGTCAACACTTGATCTTTTTAAGGGGTCCTCCTTGCTGGCGCCACTTGCCCTTCGAAGCACAACTCCACCTGGGGCAGATGGAGAGTCTGGATTCTTCTCAAACGATCCTTTGAGAAGAAACAAAAGACACTTACATAACACTATCTAACTGAGATCTGCTTTTTTATCTGCCTTTTATCAGCAGAGCCTGTTGCAGTATATAAACATTATGTGTTGGGTCCTTGAACTCAATGTTGTTATAGTTAACTAAAAGGATTTAAAATATAAATATTGGATGAAAAACTTAAGGCGAAACACCTCAGGTTAATGGGGTAAAAAATTAATGGAGATTACCACACTTCTCCAGTTAAATGATTACGTTAAGAACTGCAAACATTTTTTTTGTTGTTGTTTATCAAGTTTTTTAAATGGTATGTTTAAATATTCAAATGAGACATTATCTAATTAAATGTGCACTAATTTGCATAAATTTGTAGAACAAAAATCTGAACATTGGATGAAGCCAGGTTCAAACTTTTTGTTTCATTTTGTTGACATATTAAAGGTTTTTACAAAGGGGATTTTGGATTTCACTCCATAATTTAGAACATACTGTCAACAGCTATGGAAAAATTTTTTTTTAGACAGGAATAAAACTAAGTTTGGTGTATAGAAGTGGATATTTTTGAGTTAGTGCAGAAAGAATATAGCATTTTGAGACAACAGGCTTTAAAGACATACATTGTCACTGAAATCTAATGACGCAGATATGTAAGTGATATAAAACAAACATTTAAAAGTGTATTTAGGATGTTTTCTTTCCACTAGTCTGAAAAAAAAATACTTAATGAAAAGCCAAAAAGCCCAATATCTCTAAATTGACATGAAAAAAAAATACTATTTTTGTCTGTAGTGACTCACCTTAAACTTAAAAAACCTTAAAAGATAATTAGAAATGTACCTTGGAAACGTACTTAAACAAAATAAGTTGAAGTTGAAGAACTAAAATTACTAAAAAAACAAAACTGAAATAAATCTAAGTTAAATAGAAATATTTAAACTAAAAAACAAAAGCTAATACAAATGACAAAAACATAAATATACATGAAAATATTAAAATAAAAGATGATTAAAATTATTAATAAATACTATAATATTATACAAATCAGTGGTTCCCAACCCTGGTCCTTGAGGCACCCCAACACTGCACATTTTGCATGTCTCCTTTCTCTGACACTCCAGTTTCAGGTCTTGGAGTCTCTACTAATGAGCTGATGACCTGAATCAGGTGTGTTTGATTAAGGAGACATGCAAAACTTGCAGTGTTGGGGTGCCTCCAGGACCAGGGTTGGGAACCACTGCTATAAATAATACTAAAATAACACTGCTAGAACTGCAAAACTGTCAAACGCTACCTCTGTCATGGTCAAAACTGCTAGAGTTGTCATCGGCTAGTGTAGATGACCTCTGTTTCAGTCCTCTCCCTACCCATGCTCTCGTGGTACTTAACCGGCTTTCTCGCCTCAACCTGATTGGAAGATTCATTTGGCTGGTTGAAGAATGAGCAAGCCAATCATCGCCATGCTCTTGAAGGTACAAGGGATTGATAAAGCACATGGCACCACTGGCAGCTGTAACCTACCAACAAATAGAAATAATTTCAAAGTCTTGCCTGCCATACATAGAATATAGTCGCAAAGATGAAAAAGAATAGATTCCTAATGGATACATTAGTTAAGGTGGAACATTTCAATGCCCTTGTGAGCTGTGAGCAGCTACACAGGTTTGGATATTTTCTTACATTAAAGCACCATAAATTAATGTTTGGACATTGCACTCAAAATATACAGCTCTATAAGTCATTGTAGACAACATCCAAACAAAGTTTTATGCTTACCAACTGAATTGACGGATTACAATGCTTTTGATAACTCATTGTCAGTGTCTAGATCAGTGGTTCTCAATTCCAGTCCTCCCGTACCCCCGCTCTGCACATTTTGTATGTTTCTCTTATTGCTTCAGACGTTTGTTATATTTGACTGTAAGTGCCCTGCGAAGTGGACATTACCGGATATTCTGCCATGATTCCAGTTTGAAGGGAGCGTATATTTTGCATACAAAGGGCATTTAAGTGTGCGAGACGTGAATTTAAATTGTATTTATTTACAGAGGTATATTATGTCCCACTTCACGCTTCTCTAGTAAGTTTCGTATGTGTGTGAAGACGCAAATCTGTAAATGAATATTCCGAAGTGAAGTAAACTTCAACGGATTTCCCCTGCTTAGGGAGTAGGGAGCAATGGACACTGTGTAGGAACACAGTTCATGCACGGAGCTCACTTCTAACAAGATGATGATCTGAATCAGGTGTGTTAACAAAGAAAGACATGCAAAACATGCAGAGCGGGGGTACGCGACGACTGGAATTGAGAACCGCTGGTCTAGAGATGATACACATTAAATTTCATGTGAACCAGACAGTCTTAGATATGTAAATATTTGGTAACACTTTATTTTTAAGCATCCTTGTTAATAACACAAATAAGGACCAAATAATATTAATTGATAACGTACTTAATTTAAGGTATATTTTCTACAAAAGAAAGTAGATGTAACGCGAAACAAGGACACTCTGAGATAAATGATTAGTAAGTTTCTCTAAAACAAGTTAAGTTTAATACTTAAAACATGGGCAATAACCAGTATCTTTATAGGCAGTTTGCTTTCTGTTATACCCCAATTCAAATTCAGAAATTAGAATATAGAATTAGAATTACAAAGCACTCTCAGTTCTGAATATTAGAAAATTGAAAACATCAGAGATGTATAGCACAGATCACTGACTCAGAGAATCTATATCACCTGTATCGTGCACATGACTGTTTCTGGCGTTTCTGTTATGCCTTGAGTTTCTGGAGTCATACTGCTAAACAGCGGATCTGAAGAGGAACACAGCCAGGTCTCTGAAAATCAAACACACAAATCACTGGAATTCAGAGAGTCTGATTTGCACGACACTATATAGTACAGAGACTGGTGAATGACAGGGCAAGTACTAACTTGGACCAAGCAGAAGAACAAGATGATCTGGTAGATTAAGTGTGTAAAGCCAGGAGGGAACCAATAAACAGACAGGCAAAACATCCCTGAGAGGAAATTAAGCATAGCAGATGTCAGATAATACAAAAAAAAAACATTATTTATATGATTTAGCATTATTTATATGGTTAGAATTATACACTCACACACTTAAAAAAAAAGAGTAACCTAAAATGTTAACTTCAAAAGTAACTAATTTTAACCCTTTAAAGGGCAAGACCATAAATAGACTAAAATTTATTTATTGCTATTTTCCATCTTATTGGGACACAAATAATACAATTTCATGATTTTACAAAACATCCCTGAGAGGAAATTAAGCATAGCAGATGTCAGATAATATAAAAAAAAACATTATTTATATGATTTAGCATTATTTATATGGTTAGAATTATACACTCACACACTTAAAAAAAAAGAGTAACCTAAAATGTTAACTTCAAAAGTAACTAATTTTAACCCTTTAAAGGGCAAGACCATAAATAGACTAAAATTTATTTATTGCTATTTTCCATCTTATTGGGACACAAATAATACAATTTCATGATTTTATTAAAAACTTGGTTCTTTTTTTTATTTTAATGTTTGTATTGTATAAAAAAAGTATTTAAAAAATTACGTTTACAGTAAAGATAATGTAATATACTATTTCTTTATTTTATATAAAATAAATATTGTATAAAATATGTTGCACTCTAAAGTTGCTATAAATCAAAGCTATCAAAGCCATATGTCTAACCAAATGTTCCAAATTTGAAGTTGATATCACAAAAATTGTGGTTCCTGTGAGATTTTGTTTGGCCACTATACCATAAATAATCACTGGCTTACACCCAAACTCTACTGATTTTTTTTGATGCAGTTTTCTGTCACAAATCAATCCATTTCTGTCACAATATCATGTCTATTACAAAACAGTCACCACATATGGAATCTTAACTGTCAGACTTTTCCAACGATATGTGTTTTGTCAAGATTACAAAAAGATTTGATTTTCTAAAACTGTATCCCCTGAGATACAAACATTTAGAGACAGATTACAAAAAAACGTAAGAATTTAATTCATAAAATTTCAATGTAAATCTAATAAGCTAATGCTGAACAACCGCTTTTATCGGAGGGTGAGTAGATTTCATACTACAGGCGGCCATGCAATTTTAAATGCTTCCTGTGAGCTAAACAAAGAATGTCAATATATAAATATTCACAACAAACACCTTTTCAACATGAAACCAAGAAATGAGGCCTACACTTTCCCTGCCTCTCCCCACAGCCTCTCAAATGTTTGTATCCCCCAGGATAAGTCGCCAGTTAAAGGGTTAATTATTTAACACCACTGACCCAATCTTAATACATTCATTTATCCCAACAATTACAGGTTGCCCCTTATTACAATGTAATCTTAATAATTACTACTTTAGTGTAATGGAAACAAACAGATATTTAATTGTCTTTATCTGATTGTTTGTCCGACACTGGAAAAAAAAGGTAACCAAAAATTGTAACGTCTAAAATTACTGGTTTTATTCAAGTCATAAATGCTATTTAACATCACTGAACCAAAATATATACATGCATCTATACCAAAAAAACAAATATGGGTAGAATCAGGTAGAAATAGCTCTTTAAGGTAATAATTGCAGGTTACCAGTTTTTTACGGTGCATAGAAGATTTAATATCATTTACTATCTAACACAGGGGTGCACAGAGGTTCCTGTGATAACCTCCTGATATCAAGCAAAACAGATGTGCTTCCTTATCAATAGGTGCTAGATAAAAATATCTCATCCCCACCTGCTCAGTGTGTAGAAGTGCAGCAGTTGACAGAGATCAGGGAAAGCCAGGTGTGATGCCGTCAGGCGAAGAGCTATGAAAGGGAAAAAAAAGACAAGCGAACTAAGTCAGACTAACGCAACGAGTAATACAGAAACTGGACAGACTAGTCATGAACTTCAAAAGCACATGTATGCAATGAGGAAATAGGAAGACTGTAGGGTTCATGACGGTCATAAATGCTATTTAACATCACTGAACCAAAATATATACATGCATCTATACCAAAAAAACAAATATGGGTAGAATCAGGTAGAAATAGCTCTTTAAGGTAATAATTGCAGGTTACCAGTTTTTTACGGTGCATAGAAGATTTAATATCATTTACTATCTAACACAGGGGTGCACAGAGGTTCCTGTGATAACCTCCTGATATCAAGCAAAACAGATGTGCTTCCTTATCAATAGGTGCTAGATAAAAATATCTCATCCCCACCTGCTCAGTGTGTAGAAGTGCAGCAGTTGACAGAGATCAGGGAAAGCCAGGTGTGATGCCGTCAGGCGAAGAGCTATGAAAGGGGGAAAAAAAGACAAGCGAACTAAGTCAGACTAACGCAACGAGTAATACAGAAACTGGACAGACTAGTCATGAACTTCAAAAGCACACGTATGCAATGAGGAAATAGGAAGACTGTAGGGTTCATGACATGAATTTTATCAGCATGCACAAATAGAGAACAAACTACCGTGCAGAAGAGTTTACTGAACTTTGCACAAACGTCTCATTTACACTGCACAAACTATTTGCACATGGATTCCCATGCTGTACTTCCCATGTCAGTTTGTAACAGGAAATGTAGAAAATTTGCATGCTTTAGAAATGTATTATGCCTGACCATGCCTAAAAGCTTGTTCATTTCCTTTCACGCAATTGCTCTGAGGTTGTTCTTTCACAGCTCAGGAAACGTATACGTTTCTCATACAAATCTAAAAAATAAATAAATAAATATTCAGACAGTTACTGAAATATAGTTATAGTATGCAGCTATGAAATGTGGACACCAGCTCAGTGTGTAGAAGTGCAGCAGTTGACAGAGATCAGGGAAAGCCAGGTGTGATGCCGTCAGGCGAAGAGCTATGAAAGGGGGAAAAAAAGACAAGCGAACTAAGTCAGACTAACGCAACGAGTAATACAGAAACTGGACAGACTAGTCATGAACTTCAAAAGCACATGTATGCAATGAGGAAATAGGAAGACTGTAGGGTTCATGACGTGAATTTTATCAGCATGCACAAATAGAGAACAAACTACCGTGCAGAAGAGTTTACTGAACTTTGCACAAACGTCTCATTTACACTGCACAAACTATTTGCACATGGATTCCCATGCTGTACTTCCCATGTCAGTTTGTAACAGGAAATGTAGAAAATTTGCATGCTTTAGAAATGTATTATGCCTGACCATGCCTAAAAGCTTGTTCATTTCCTTTCACGCAATTGCTCTGAGGTTGTTCTTTCACAGCTCAGGAAACGTATACGTTTCTCTTGATAATCTAAAAAATAAATAAATAAATATTCAGACAGTTACTGAAATATAGTTATAGTATGCAGCTATGAAATGTGGACACCATAGCTCAGATAATTTGATATTGGAGGAGTTGACAACATCATGACAACACGTTGATCATGACAAATGCATGTGTTCAATTCTGACTTGTGATTGCAAACTTGGGTATTAGCAAATCTGAGCAGCAATCAAGGATGAAAAGGCTTTTCAGTACCTGTTCCAGCGGTTAAGATGGGGAATTCTTTGACCGGCTCCCCTCTGTCCCCTACAGACACACACAGAAGTTGGTCTTGAGATGAAGAGTCTTGGACCACCAAGAAACTCTGTGTAAAGGAACAGTTAGATCATTTTACTGTTATGCAAAGTTAATGAAAGGGTTATATTGAGAGAATTGAGGATCAAAATATCATGGATAATAACGTATCGTTGTCATATTTTTATGAACTAATTACATGAGCACATACAGCCACCACTGAATTCAGGGAAATGCTCACTTTGTGGGTAAGCACTCTCACAAGAGGAAGTCACACAAAAGTTGGGTGGCAAAAAAAAAAAAAAAAAATCCAAAAATAGATGACAGTGAAACATACTTTAGTTATTAGCATTTATTTTGTCTATTTAAAACGTATCATGGATATGCTTCTGACATAAACACATCAGCTAGCTTTCATTCAAATTCAAAATATAAAAAATAATGTTTAAACTTTATTTGAAGATTTTGTTCCTTTGACCACAAAGGAAGTGAAATTAGGCCTCTGATAATTGACATCACTCACTACTTATATAGAGTGACACTATGAAAGAATATTTCACAGTTTGAATGTGGGGGGGAAAAAAACACCTCTACATTGCCCTGGCATAGACTTTCAACAACGGTCAACACTTCTGTGAAAAGTTTAACAATAGATCCTTCGATACTTTGTTCAAATTGATGAAAACATAAATCTTTTTATATTATGTAGACCTTGTATTGTTTAATCATTATTTTAAAGACATGAATGAGCATTTATACCAGCAAAAACACTCTACAAAGTCACATTCTATAATGCTAGACACCACCAACATAAATAATCACTTCCACAAACTTTGCCTCTCTTCAAGTGCAGTCCTGCTTTATGCAAGCTTATCTAACTCTACTTCTGCAATTATCTGCAACATAACAGTACTTTTTATTCTTTAAAAATTAAATAAATAATAACACTAGACAAGGACTTAAGTTAACCATAAAGGAAAAGTTCACCCAAAAATAAATGTTTGCTGAAAATTTACTCAGGCCATCGAAGACGTTGCTGAGTTTATTCCTTCATTAGAACAGATTTAGAGAAATTTAGCATTACATAATTTGCTCAACAACTGATCCTCTGCAGTGAATGGGTGCCATCAGAATGAGAGTTGATATCACAATAATCCAAGAAATCGACATGACTCCAGTCCATCAATACTTGTCTCGTCTGAATCAGGAGAGAAATATGCACAGATCAAGTACCGTTTAAAAGTAAAAAACAAATATGTTCGTGGATTTTGATGTGAAAGGACAACAGGGGATGGACTTTTTCACCGGAGTGCATATTATGGATTATGGACTAACGGCTTAATATGCCTTAATGATGGATTGGTTTCCTACGAACATGCAGCTTTTCACTTCACAATATGGTAACTGATGGACTGTAGGTGTGTGGATTACCTGATTAATGTTATGTTTTCATCTGCTTCGATGAAGAAACAAACTCATCTACATCTTGGATGGCTTAACAGTGAATAAATGTTCACAAAATATTAATTTCAGGTGAACTATCCCTTCAATAGTTTCAATAAAATATTTCCTTGTTTAATTTAATTCACGTAAAGCAACACCATGTAACTTTACAATGGGCCCTCTAGTGGTGAAAAATAAACGCTTGCGTCTTACGAAAGAACATTGCTTTGGTTGTGGTTCAGCAATGCTCCTCTGCACTTAAAGGGATAGTTCACCCAAAAATGAAATCTTTTAGTTTTAAGTCCGTTTGAACAATCCGGATAAGCGCAAGTAAGTACCATTTTGATTAGTCATCGTACCTACAATGACTGTGCACTGTGTAAACAATGAGTGACGTATACGCGCGAGAGATCACTTCCGGCGCTTGCGTAAACTACGCCAGAGCGCGTACACACCTCACGCATCAGACAGTTGGACATAGTGGTGTATTAGAGGTAAAATATGATATAAATACTGTTCGGTTTCTGGCACAAACCGATCGTTTCGTGTCTTAGGACATCAATGTGTCGTCACGAGACGCATGGTTTAATTTAGATTTTTCTGTGCATGTTTTTTTTACTCTCATAGATTTTGTTACCATTGCCATGCATTATACGACTGATAGACTGCAACGGTTAAAGTTGAAAATCCACATATGTGTTCTACTGAAGAAACAAAGTCCCCTACACCTTGGATGCCCTGGGGGTAAGCAGATAAACATAAAATTTTAATTTTTGGGTGAACTATCCCTTTAAGAATGTTGTTCAAGCAGTGTTGCCAGATCCACGGTTTTCCCACGGAATCGGGCTACTTTAACACGGTTGCCGAACGTTTTTCATGTCCAAGGGTTGAAGCGACCCCAATAACTTGATATTTAGCCCATGGAATGCGAGTTTTACCCGGGCAAAAATTTGTTTTATTTTACCCCCCGGAACACTTATATACGTATTAAAATTTGTTTGATGATCTGAATCTTTCAAGTGTGACAAATATGCAAAACATTTAAAAAACAGGAAGGGGGCCAACACTTTTTCACACCACTGTATATATAACCTTGAGTTGAGTTTGATCAAGGTTGGGGCCAGAGTTGAGAACCCCTGATGTACGGATTTAGGACCTTGTATATGCAATACGGAAGTAAGTGTTTTTCTGTGATATAATGTGCAAAACTTCCTATTAGTAGCTGCTATAGGTAATTAACTAGAAGAAAGTGACGAAAGAAAGTAAACGGTAAAACTATTTGCTATTTATATGTTTATGAATACAATAAATTAAAATAATAGAATATAAAAGAAAATAAATACAAATGGTACAAATGGCCGTAACCGCTCTTATGTTATACAGTTTGTGTATATATATATATATATATATATATATATATAATTTTTTTTATTAGTTTGTTGTAACATATACGTATAAACAGGAAATTATGACAACATCTACTGTCAGTCACTGAATAAACTTCTCCCTAATAGTGCACATAAAACTGCTTCCACTAAGAAAAAAGAAATGGATTTTAATAAACGGGGAAACACCAAAGGGAACAGTGACTTCCCACAATATCTACTTACAAAATAGCATCAGTAATACTAAAAGGTAATAATTCTTAGGGCCCTATTTTCATATCCACAGTAAGCATGGGTAATGCTCTACAACTATGACCTACATCTCTCCCCAGCCTCAGTTAGTCTAGATTTGATGGAGTTTGAAAGCAAAATGTTAAATTATTGAATTATGAGTTACATTTCAAGTCATATTTAACTATTACTACATTATTGTTTTTATCAT